TTTGATGGCAATCCTTAATTGGCATTGGATATATATATATATATATATATATATTGTTTCTTTTGTTTTGAATATGAAGTAAAAGGCTTGGGTGGGTGTCTTGCAAGAAAGATTTTGGTGATATTTGGGGCTAAGAAAAGATACAAACAAATAAGAAAATTGGGCAATGGTAAAAATGAGGGAGACATATCAAATTAGGGATAATAACCCATATCTTGCAGACATTCAACATGCCAAAATTCTTTCTTTTTCTTTCGATTCTAGATTTTGAAAAAAAGAAAAAAAATATTATTTTATTAAATTCAATCTAATCTTTATATTTTTATTTTTTTCTAAATAAACTCTTATTACTTATAATTAACTAATTATTATTAGTAAAAATGTAACATATCATTATATACCATACAATATTGACATAACATATTAACATACTATAATAAATATTGACATAAGATATTAATATAAAATAATAACATTACTATATAACATTTTTTACTATTCATATCAATATCATGTTAGTATCACATAAATATAAAAATAATAAATCACTCAAAATAAAAATATAAAATAATAAATATTAATTTAAAAAATCTATTTAATTTAAAATAAAAATATAAAAACTTAATTTAACATAATAAAAAATAAAAATTTATTTAATTTTTTTTAAATAGTTCATAAACTTCTTTAAACATTATATCAAAAGAAACACTACTTTAACAGGTGACAATGAAAATATGCCTAAGAAAAGATTTATCCAATTTTCGGGCCTACGTCGAGAGAGGAATTCCTGCCAGCTGGTTCTTTATAGTTATTGGGCGTCAAGAATTCTATCTTCACACGTGTATAATACCTTCTAACAATACTGCCCCTCTCTCTCTATCCGTACGTTTGTTGAGTTTTTCGGCCCTATACTTTTTAAATGAAACATTTGTATAATTAAAAACTATTCAATATTTATTACCAAACCTATTTTGTCTTGTTACTGAAATACTTATAAAGATTTTATATTAGTATCCACACTCACACACGAGATTTAAAGAATATACAACATAGATAAAAAGTTTAATTAATATGTAATTAATTAAGAGGAGGGTAAATATATTATAATTTTTTTCTTAATTTAGTGCATTCATATACTTAACCCATCAAACTAAGCGTTCTCTTTCATTAATATTTAATAAATAATCACTGTCTTAAAAAGTAAAGCAACAAATTTTAAGCCATTTCTAAATAAGTAATTAATTACTATTACTATATGATTTTGTAACAAAGTGTTAATGTATAAGTTTACAGATGGTAAAGCATACAGTTTGACGGAGATTCCCTTTTAATTTGGTGCAAATAGAAGTCCATTTAAAGCATGTCATCACCTACATAAGGATAAAGCAAAGTGTGTGGTGGCCGGTGCTGACCCGTAAATTTCCATCAAGTTTTTAACTTATAGTAAGCATATAATAGATAGAACGACATTCACATAATCATGAAAGGTCATCCGGCGAAACTTTTGCAGTTGAAAAAATCATAGTAAATCAAAGGAAAACTCTTTTAAATAGTAAAAGGTAACAAATTTAATGTAAATCATCCCAAAGTCCTCTTTTGCTAAACAAGTAAACATGAACAAATGATGAATATATATATATATATATAGATGAATAAATAAAAAATAAAGTCCCTAATTATTAATTCTTCAAAAATGCTAGTCAATTTTTTTATTTACAGTATGCTTTCTTTTCCAAAAGCAAAGAGTAAGTATTAAATTAACAATGAAAGAAAGCCTTAATCATGGGAAAATCCAACTCTCATGCACATGTCAAAACTACATTAAACAATATAAGTACTCATTGGAAGTAAATATATATATTCTGTCTCGAGCGGTACACCATGTATATGATACATTAATTAATTAATTCAAAACATAAACATATACAAATTAATTAAATAAACATCCAGACCTGGCATATTAACTTTGAATATATGCTACAATATGAGGAGAGGCATGCAGTTGATTGAAGGTTGCCCTAAAGGACAGTTCATGAAGTTAATTATAACAGAATAAATATGGTAGTAAAAAAGAATGGTAAAGAAACCTAACTGCCATTATTTTCAGCAGATTCAGCACTGGTTAGTTGTCTAGACTATAATATTAACAATGATAATCCAAGTATTAAGCTAAGTGCTTGATCAACTTTATCAATAACACTAAGGCAACAGATAAGAACCAAAAATTATCTGCATCTCTCTCTCTCTCTCTCTCATGAATCATGAACAGCAAAATGAGGCAAAGTATGGATTGAAGGTTTGGTTCTCAACAGAAAAAGACTGATGGAAAGTTGGTTCCTTATGGAAATTTAGTCTCTATTACGATTAGTAACACTGCAAAGAAGATATTGAAGAAGGAAGATCAGTTCTAACTTCCAGTTTAATTAAGTTAAGTGCACATATATATTGATCATAGAGTTATATGCTTCCTAATGGCTGCCATGAAACTAAAGAAGCACATGTTTTCAACATAGGATATGGTAAACAGGTGGGAATTCAGAAAACTTGGTCATCATGAACAAACATGCTTTTATGGGGCAGATCCATAAACAGTCTCTTCGAGATTTTTTAATTAACACATCTTTAGTATTTTTAATCAAGTACTCAGAAAGGAACACAGCAGCACTACCAGGTTTTTTTATTAGTAAGTTATTCGGAAAGAGGTATACATATATATGAATACGAAACTCAAACCAAAACGGAAAGGTTCACTTTCCAAATTTGGGCGTTGAATATGAAAGGACAAACCTCGTTATTGCATTAAATGGAAACATTCACACTCTGACAGAAACTTAAACTTCTGGTTATTATACAATCCTTGGTAACACCATACATCAGAACTATTTCTTCATGACTGGAATCCATTTTTTTGACAGAGTTCTCAAAATTAAACACCATACATATATACAATACTAAACTAGAAAGACCCTTGCAAATTCAACACTGATGGGAACCGAATCCCTTATTTAGCATGTACAGATGTACTATTTAAAACCCACTTATCTGTTATCTTCAATCCCTTTGTTGGAAGCAATCGAGTAATAACTTGTAAGAAGGAAAGCATCACTTGTCTCCAAACAGGTACCCCAGAGATGAATCTCCACCAGGAACTGATTTAACTTTCGTTGATGGCCGATCCTGAAATCAAACATATACAGTACTTAGGTTAAAAGATATGCACAGATGAAGTGCAAAGAAGGTTATGTGATAATAATTACTTACAGTTATGAAGTTCCCTGAATTCTGTCCTTGAGCCCTATGATAGTTGTTGTTGACGTTTTTCTCTGTCCGTTTCTCTGACCTGAGTTTATTTGGAGCCGGAGGATTCTCTGGGGTAGTATCTATACCATACGGAGGCTGGATCGGTGGTGTTACAGCAGGTGCACTTGGCTGCTCATCAGCACCAAAGAGGTAGCCCAGGGAACTTTGGCCGCCGCCATAGCTCCCACCTCTACTCATGGTTGGAGAACTGCTTGATTTAGTTAACAAGTAATTCCAAATTACAAGGGGAAAGAATGGAAACAACCCTAATATATAATGTGGTTGGGTCTATGTATGTGTGGATGGGCGCTTATGGTATGTACATGTTATCTTTTGGTACTGATGATAACGCACCATACCAACTTGGCTACTAATGTACACAAGTAAAGCACGGTGCATTGCAAATTGCAATATCGCTGTGCTGGAAAGGGGCATCCTATGGATTCTTTAGCTTTGACCTAGCCTGTATGTATTTTGTATGCCCTTTTAATTCCATGGAGAAATGTGTTAATTTAAACATTGATGTTTTATCACATAAATCATGAAAACAATAATATTTCTTTCATCATGAAAAATTAACACCGATTAATTTCCCATCTTGTATATCAGTTATAAAGTATAATATGAATGCCTTCTATATATCAGTATAAAACATGATTTCATTTCAAATAATATATTGATGTCATCTTCCAAATTGTTGCATCCAGGTAGTTTTCAGATTGTCCTGAGGCTATTATCTTCATGCTGGTTGGGTCATGGGTGCCTGCTGCTTCTTCTGCTAACCTGTTTAGAAATACAACCTCTACGGGGGAAGCAATCAGAGAATCGAAAGTGTTTCGAAGAAATTATATCATAAAAGGGATAAACGTCCTTAATTACATTAGAATATACTTGTTTGTGTTGTATATATTTGTGAATGCAACATATACGTGGTGTATGTGCAGTAGGAGTTTATGTGACAAACAAAACCCAACAACCATACCATGCAAGTTAGCACAAAAATGACTCTAGAACTGTCCCTCTGCTAAAGCAGAAGAGATCAGTTGGTTAAGTGTTCAAATCAGGTGGGCTCTGTCAGTCATTCAAACCAATATAATAAACCATAATGATTAGGAATAGTGGTTTTTAGTTCAAATACTGTTGACACATAATTGACTTTGGGATGGCTTACGCCACATATCATTACTTAATGCATGGTTTAACTTTGGGC